GCTCACAGGAAACTATTATGAGCAAAACAATACTCGTAAACATTGATGATAGGTAGCCGTATGTACTTATATGTTTGGAAAATGTATTAAGTATAGGTACGTCAGCATGAGAATTACGCAGTATGAATCTGCTTATCACAGGAACTTTCATGGTTTGCTTAGGTTGTTCCCCCGAGCGTTTAGAGGAAGGCAATACTTTCCGACATATCCGGTTAATGAGAAGTTACTATAAATAAATAATTAAATACAGCAGCTAAAAAATAAATAAGGATCAACCGTTACTAATGAAAAATTATTAAGTGAGCAAATAAACAACTAATTAAGCAGGCAGGCAAGTAAACAGGAAAGTGAGATATTAAGCAAATCACCAAAACTGAGAATAAGTATGTGAGTAAGTATTTATATACATCAGTCGGTTACGCAAGTATTTAAGTATCTCACATTCAAATCAGGCCGATTTGATACTGCCCCTTTCTTGAACATGTCTTGAAATAGTCAGAGTTTCAACCAAGCAACATTGTTCATCGCATGGATAAAAATGACCTGAACTGACAATAAACCTCGCAAAAACGAAACTTAGCAGTGCAACAAAACACAGACTCAAATATCGGTCTCCTGCCCGAACCTTTGGTAATAGAATCAGTACAAGTGATCTCTAAGCAAACAGGTAAATAAGGAATTATTTAAGTGAACGAAAGCACACAAAAATATTATGAAATGATTATATCATTGAGCCTCCGAGGTACAATCTACGTAAAGGCGCTAAGAGGTGCCGCTGAATAACATATTCTAAAATACTAAATCAATGTGGATTTAGATCAGGCCGAGGAACCTTTGATCTAAGAAGATATACGCCTCATACCAGGATTGTTGAAAAATTGGTGGAAGTTTACCCATCCGGTGTACATGTGTTTTGTTGACCTAGAAGAAGAATATAACTAGATCCCACGAAACAGTCTGTGATCATGAATTCCAGCATACGAGATAGATGGCCAGCTGCTGAGGACCATCCAATCACTGTATTTTGATAGCAGGTGATGCATCAGAGTTAATGGCGTTAAATCCAAACCAACGTTCGCACTGGTCTCCGCCAAGGCTGCGTCCTGTCTGTGTTGTACATGGATAGAATAGTCGGGACCTGCCCAGACGATGAGGGTATCGGTGTAGGAGATGTGAAGTCGAGAAGGTTGCTGTATGCAAACGACTTTGTTTTATTAGCATCTTCTGAAACCGATCTTCAGTGCTCCTTAGAAAGGTTCGCAGCCGAGTGCGACGTGACTGGCATGCGTGTGAACGCATCTAAAACGAAAAGCCTAATGCTTTCTCGTTCTCCTGTCCGTTACTCTCTTCAGATTAACGGAGAGGAAGTGGAGCAGGTGGAGAAGTTCAAGCCTCGGAATTGTATTTACTAGTGATGGAAAATTGGAGGAACAGATCGACCGGCGAATTGGAGTAGCCAGTGGCGACATTCCCGATGCCTTGTGACTAAAGCAGAGCTCAGTCTGAGAACTAAGCTCTCGGTTTTCAGGTCGATCTACATCCCCATGCCTACTTACGGTCTTGAGTTGTGGAACATGACTGAGAGACTTCGATCCGGGGTACAAACAGCTCAAGTGGGCTTTCTCTGACCAGTCGCTCGACTTACGCGTCTCGACATGATCTGGAGTTCAAATACGCTAGGGAGAGTGACTTTCGGCAATGCCGGTGGTTTTCCAGATCGAGAAGTCAC